TGGTTCCAAATAAGAAAGTCTAGAAAATTTCTCCTATTTTGAATTTTGATTTTTTTTTAATCCATGTCATTTTTAAACTACCAATTAGAAACTCTACTTTCCCAAAAAAGATCTTTCTAAAATCTCTCTCTCTCTCTCCATGTTCCAATAACCTAAAAATGATCTCTAATTCTTATTTATCTTCTCCCCCACTTTTTATCTACATCTATCTAAATAAAATTTAAGAATTATTTAAATATTTTAACAAAACTATATAATAACTTTAAAATATTTATTAAAAAGACAAAAAATAATTATAATCGATTTAATAATATTCATATTATTAATAATTAGATATTTTTACAAAATTCATCATAAAATTATGTACAAACAATATAAATTATGCTTTTTTGGATTATTAAATCTAAATTTCATTCAAATAATAAAAATTTAACATTAAAAATGAAATATTATTTAAATATTCAATAACTAAATATATTAAATAAAAAATTTTAAAATTAAAATTTTAAATCAATTAATAATGTACTTTAAACATTTACTGAATAACTTTCAATTATAATACATAGATTAAAATTTTAAGTAGTTAAAATAACAAAATTATGTATTAATAGTAATATAATTTTATGWATTATTAAATTCAACAATTAATTAATATTTTAATATTTAAATAGCGATATTATTCCAATAAATAAATAATATTGTAAATAACTAATTTCATTTATACCAATTAATAATTCTAGAAAGTAACATTCACAAAAATTAATGTTTATTATAATAATTTTAAAATCTAATCTATATTTCTTATATATTTATATATACTAGCATTAATATTTATTATATTTCAGTAATTATTTATTGTTTTATGTGATAAATATATTTTCAATAATTCTGCATAAATCTATTTTTGTTTTTTTATTTAATAGAAAATTTTCAATAATTATTAGAGTTTAAAGTACTGTTATTTAGCTTTTTGAATTTAATTTATTGTGTATTTTTTGTATAAATTCTTAATAATTATTGGAAATTAAACAATTGTTCATGGGTTGGTTCATTTTAGTTGTAAGTTGTTTGGCCAACCAAATCGACCTGGTCAGGGTGGGGAGTAGGTCACTCAGGTTATATCGGTTTGGGTCAATTTTTTATTTGGTCGATCGGTTCAAAAGATTTAAACTTAAAAAAAAGTTAAATTTAAATTTTATAAAAATCACAATGACATTATTAAAAAAATAAATTTACGATATAAAATATTTTAGCCTAGGAAATATTGGAATTTTCCTACTTTCTTGTATTAAAAAATATATATTTAAAATATAAAATATTAATATATATTTATGGTCGGGTCATTCAATTCAGTCAGTTTACAAATGGCCAAATCAAAACTAATCCAACCAATTCAGGTTAGGAAATTGTTGAACCAAAGCCGTTTGAAAATACTAGAAGTCGGGTTGGTCAGTTTCATTAGTTTGATTAGGAATGGCAATGGGGCGGGGTGGGGACGAGGAGCCTCTCCCCATCCCCATCTCCACGGTGATCCCCACTCCTATGATTCTTTATAATGTCAACCATTATGTTTTATTTTTTATTTTACTTAAAAAATAAAAATAAAATAATTAAAATTTACAATCCTATTAGAAAAGATTCAAACATATTCAGCCATATTTTTAAAAATATTAACATATAGACGTATGTATACATATATACATACATAAATGTATAAAATATAAACAATTATTAATTATTATATAAAATAATTATATACTCTTACATGTTTCTATTATTTATCTTTAACTTAATAAATCCTGGTGCATCGTACAGGTCCCTGCTAATAAGAGAGTTATGGGAGGGGCTGGATTTGGGAAACCGAATCTCCACATAACCTTCATACTGAAATACAACCTTCGTTGGAAACGTTTTTGCATGCATGTGTAATTGGTATTCCTAGATGGTGGATGGTGAATTCAATGCTGGTTGCATGGATTTTCAATACAATCGAACCAACCTTGCAAACTACTATATCATACACGGAGAGTGTGAAAGACTTGTGGGAGGATCTGCGACAGAGATTTTCTACCGGGAATGGACCGCGAGTCCATCAATTGAAGGTTGATTTGGCTGCTTGTAAACAACAGGGACAAGCAATGATGGCTTACTACGGGAAGCTGAAGGTCATGTGGGACGAGCTGACAAAATATGATCCAGTACATGCGTGCCGTTGTAGCGGTTGCAATTGCAAAATTGCAACCATACTTGAAAAGAAGTGAGAAGAAGAGAGGGTACATCAGTTCTTGATGGACCTTGACGACGTAACTTATGGCACCGTGCGTTCGAATACTTTGAGCATAGAGTCGTTGCCGAATTTGAACCGTGTCTATGCAATGATCATTCAAGAGGAAAGGCATCAAAGTATAGCCAAGAGCAAAGAAGAACGAAGTGATGTTGTGGGTTTTGTGGTATATGYTGGTGCAAAAGCAGTTGGTGCACGTACAAAGGATAAAAGCGTGAGCTGTACACACTGTGAAAAACCAAGACATGAAGCAAAAGACTGTTTCCAGGTGATCGGATATCCAGAATGGTGGGGAGATAGACCATGCTCAACCGGGAAAGGAGCAGGCCGCGGGCGAAGTGGTTTGGGCGGACGAGAACGAGGAAACAAGGCAAGAGCAAACACTGCCCAAGCAGCGGGAAGTGAGACTGGAGGACAAAAAGTTGGAACCACAAATGATCATGACCGCAGCGGGTTTCCGGGGCTGAGTGGAGATCAATGGACAACCCTTCTCAATATTCTGAATTCACATAAATCTGGTGAAAAACTTTCCGGTAAGAAAAATTCTACTGATTGGATAATTGACTCCGGGGCATCGCACCATATGACTGGAGAAATTAATTTATTGATTGAAGTTCGGAATATTACACCGTGTCCGGTGGAACTTCCTAATGGGAAGCAAACTACCGCACTGAAGGAAGGGACTTTGCATTTGGGTGGAAATATTTATTTACATCATGTGCTTTTCGTACCAAAAATGAACTGCACCCTTATTTCTGTAGCTAAATTATTGCAAGAGATAAATTGTACTGTCACTTTTACTAATAAGCTGTGCGTGATACAGGACCAAACCTCGAGGACTCTGATTGGAGCGGGTGAACAGTGTGATGGGGTCTATCAGTTTAGAGGAGCAGCACCGGTTCGGGCAAATAGAACAAGTGGAATGAGTGAATGGGAGTTGTGGCATCGCAGATTAGGGCATCCGTCTAAACAGATATTATCTTCTCTTCCTAAGGTAGATAAATTAAATAGTAGACTTGAAAGTGATAAGCCATGTGATGTTTGTTACAGAGCAAAACAAACTAGGGAAGTTTTTCCTGAAAGTAAACATAAAGTTGATGCTTGTTTTTCTCTAATTCATTGTGATACATGGGGTGCTTATAAAGTACTTGCTTCTTGTGGTGCCGTTTACTTTCTAACCATTGTTGATGATTATTCTCGTGTTGTGTGGGTTTACCTGTTACTTGAAAAAGGTGAAGTAGCACATATTGTTGAGAATTTCTGTGCCATGGCAGAACGCCAATTTGGCAAGTAAGTCAGAACTGTTCGAAGTGATAATGGAACAGAGTTTAAAAGCCTGAAGTCATACTTTGAGACTCATGGCATTCTGCATCAAACTTCCTGTTTTGGAACTCCCCAACAGAATGGTCGAGTGGAGAGAAAACATAGTCATATATTGAATGTTGCGAGAGCATTGAGGTTTCAAGCAGGTTTGCCTATTCGTTTTTGGGGAAAGTGTGTCTTGACCGTCGGATACTTGATATATATGACACCTTCTTCCGTACTTAATGGGAAGACTCCGTATGAGGTACTATTCGGGATGACACCTTGATACGAGCAAATAAGAGTGTTTGATTGTCTCTGCTATGCCCGTTGGATCCCTCGAGATAAGGATAAGTTTGGAGCGAGGAGTAGGAAATGTGTTTTTGTAGGCTATCCCTACGGGAAGAAAGGTTGGCGCGTATATGATGTTGAGAGCGGTGAATATTTCGTCTCCCGTGATGTAGTCTTCCAGGAAAATATATTTTCATATGTCAGTGATTTAGAAGTACCTCTTGAAGACAACCCTAGCCCGACAATTGCGGCTGTAGTTGATGATGATGTTGTTCACACCCACAGAGGAAATAAAGACAGGGGGAGTGACGAAGAGGATATTTGTGCAAATGATAGGGAGAACTTCAAAATACTAATAAAAGAGAGAAGGAGCAAGGCAATGGAGGGGATGTGCAGGAAGTGGAAGCTAATGGCGGTGAGGACAAAATTAGTGTGGATCCAGCACCACAAACAGCACTAGAAGAGCAACTTGGCAGGGGGACATCGACATCGCACGCCGTCTGTTTTGTTAAAGCCCTATGTAACCTACACTACTCGATGTCTGAAAGACCCCATTCACACTCAAGCCAACTCTAAATCAAAGTCCTCATGTACAACTCCCTATCCCATAGCAAATTATGTGACATGTACTAACTTCTCTACTAGACATCAAGCTTTCTTAGCTGCAGTCACTACAGGAGCCGAGCCTACCAGTTTTTCTGAGGCAGTAAAAAGTGAGAAATGGAGAGAAGTTATGAGGAAGGAAATCTAGGCTCTAGAGGATAATGGTACATGGACATTGGAATCTCTACCTCCCGGGAAAAAGGCCATAGGGAGTAAATGGGTTATAAGATCAAATATAATTTAGATGGGACGATTGAACGGTATAAGGCATGCCTAGTTATCCTCGGGAATAGACAGGTTGAAGGATTAGATTACAATGAGACTTTTGCTCCTGTGGCCAAACTGACGACAGTCCGAACCTTCTTAGTCGTGGCGGCCGCTAGGAACTGGGAGTTGCATCAAATGGATGTACATAATGCTTTCTTACATGGGGATTTGAATGAGGAAGTATACATGCAGTTGCCGCCAGGATTTACATCTAAGGGTCGAACAAAAGTGTGCAAACTGAAGAAATATCTTTATGGACTGCGTCAAGCTCCCAGATGTTGGTTCTCGAAGTTTAACAACGGCCTTGATACAGTTTGGGTTTGTTCAATCGTATCCTGACTACTCTTTGTTCACCTATTGCAAACACAATGTGCGTTTGCACATGCTGATATATGTTGATGACCTGATTATTGGGGGAAATGATACTGCTGCCATTGTAAAATTCAAAAGTATCTCCATCGGTGCTTCCATATACCTGGGCCCACTCAAATATTTCCTAGGGATTGAAGTAGCTCATGGCCCTGAGGGAATATTTTTGTCGCAACGGAAGTATGCCCTAGACATCATCTCGAAATGTGGATTCTTAGGAGCCAAACCAACATCCGTGCCCATTGAACAGAATCATCATCTTGCGTTGGCAAAGGGCACTCTTATGGAGAATCCGAATCGGTATCGACGATTAGTGGGACGATTGATCTACTTGACCATTACACGACCTGAGTTGTGTTATTGTATTCATATCCTAGCTCAGTTCATGCAAAGTCCACGACAAGAACATTGGGATGCAGCTCTGCGCGTAGTGCGTTATATGAAAGGATATCCAGGACAAGGTCTATTGTTCTGTTCTGATAGCGATCTGCGTCTATATGCCTATTGCGACTCTGATTGGGCAAGTTTTCCATTGACACGACGATCGTTGATTGGCTATTTTGTTCTGTTGGGGCAAACACCGGTTTCTTGGAAAACGAAAAAACAACATACCATGTCGCGCTCCTCTACAAAAGCCGAATATCGTTCGATGGTTACGACAAGTTGTGAGCTGAAGTGGATGAAGAAACTTCTTTTGTCCTTTGGGGTGGCACATGATGAACCTGCACGATTGTATTGTGACAATCAGGTAGCTTTGCACATAGTCGTGAATCTAGTGTTCCACGAGCGGACAAAGCATATTGAGGTCAATTGTCATTTTGTTCGTGATGAGCTACAGCGTGGGAACATTGTTACTTGCCATGTTCGAACCACAGAGCAGTTGGCTGATATCCTGACGAAGGCTCTGGGAAAAGAGAAATTTGCATATTTCCTTGGAAAATTGGGCATTCGGAATCTACATACGCCAATTTAAGGGGGAGTATTGGGAAACCGAATCTCCACGTAACCTTCATACCGAAGCGCAACCTTCGTTGGGAACCTTCTTGCATGCATGTGTAATTGATATTCCTAGATGAATTTGGAAAATCGATTCCTAGTGAAACTGAATCTCCTACTTGTATATATAGGATGTACATTACATAATAAAATCACAACAATTTTCACAAAGTTTTTCAATATGTTCAGGGTAGTTGTTCCTTTTTTTTTAATACATTAAGATGCAAATAGAACAAGTGGAGAAATGTGATAATCTGAAATCCCGAAAATTGCCCAATAGTGCATGACATTATGACAGATATGCTTGCTTTACCACTACTAGCCTTCGGTATTTGGTATTAGAATTCCCTCCTCATTCATATATCAAATATATGATACATTTTGGCCTAGTGTAGAGCGGTCTCCTCATGAGTTTTACTCATCCAAAACTATTTTGGATCCAAATTATACCACTTTTATAACTACGGTTTAACGTATCATTTCGAATGATACATTTTATCAATACTAGTCACTTGGTTTCATTTAAGTCTCCCATATACCTAATATGCTGTACTTTAGAAGCCCGTTTGGGAGAGCTTTCGCAATGACCGAGTTGTGACTGAGCTGCTTTTGGCTCACATAATTGTAAGACTCTTTGCTAAAAAAGAAAAATTGTAAGACTTTTTTTTAATTGGGTCGTTGAAACCTCCTTTGAAGTGTTTGATTGTTGCTAAAACTTCTCCTGAAATTTGATAAAGTCAATCACTTCTTAATTTTATAGCATTGTTGCAAGTAGACTCCTAATAGAATTTTCTAAAAGGACGCCGGATCTCCTGCCCATGAGAATTCTGCCCACACCTACCCACAATACATTACCCCCTGTGAATTGGGAATATTTCCCCCTACATAATACTATGCAGAGGATGAGATGTTCTCTATGTGTGGCTGCGATTAACGTGGGCAGAAGATTCAGGCTCTCTAAAAAGAGACATGAAAATGTCCAAAATACCTATACAGTTGCTTTTGACAAAAATGTATATTTTCTAAATTTTCTATTCATATGAATCATTACCCAAACCCTTACAATCTCTTTTTTAAAATTGATTTACTATTTTCTGTAGAAAGTAGTCTTAATAGTATCTTCATAGGTATTTTAAAGATTTTTCATACATTTTTTTAGAGTTCTACCAGAGGGAATCTACTTGCAATTCTATCAGAAAGTTCCGGAGAAGTGAAGTGATTACAATTACTAAACTTTAGAAAAAAATTCAGCAAAGATAAGAAACTGGGGAGGTTTCGGCAATTTAAAGCGTGACAACTTTCTAAGTTTATTGGCTCGTACGCTGCATGAAATTTCTCTCAAAATGACATTAACAACATAAATTCCTCTCAAACTGACATTAACAGCAGTGGCCAATGCTGTTAAACCAATTAGTTTAATCCATTTGTTCCCTATTCATTAGATTTTCTTTCCGTGTGTGACCTTCTACTCGTCAAGTGATGGGAAGGAGACCGCCAAAGGCAATATTGAGTAAACACAAGTGTGTTCACTTCAATAATTGGATTTACTCAATATACAGGTGAAAAGCTGTGAGGTTAATGTGAGGCACACTGTGAGTTGTAAATTCAGATTCGTTCACTTGTGAATCGTGATATATTACCAGCCCGCTGTACATAATTATGATTTTATTTAGGCTGCGTTTGGAAACGATGCAAATGAAGTGCAAATTTTGGTTAAGGGTAAATTTGTATTTTGATTCATTTTTGTCTGTATTTAGGAATATTATATTTATGCATTGACAAATAACAGAGCAATGCATATTTACATGGATAATAAGATGTAAAAGTATATCAATAAAAAAGAAATAACTCTGYATTCAAGTGGGCTTTTAATAAAAGAAAAAGCATATATTTTATTGGAATTCATGTTTGCATCGAATACAACTAAAAGTCTGTTTGGTAAGAAGGTAAATTTATCAATGCAAAGCTAATCCAATTTTATGATTTATATCAATCATTTTACATTCTACATATTTACATCCACACTTATTTACATCTTTCCCAAATGCAGCCTTACCTCCAATCAGATGGGCCGCCGCTGGCCAATATGGCTAAAATGCCACTATTCAAATTGGAATTTGCCAACAAAGCAAGTTCCAACACCCTACTAACACCACACATCTCGCTATAAAACTAGGCCCACCATCAAAGTGAGCCATGTATGAGACATGTGGTGTCGGATGTTGTTGGTAGGGTGTTGGAGCGTATTTTATTGGCAGGTGATCCGTCCGGACTCTTCGGAACTACATAACATGTTTACATCATTGYCCAATTCTAACATGTTTCCCAGCCTAAGCCCATTAGGTCCAGGCCCAGCCCGACCATCAAGCCTCTAATTTTCCTCCTTGTTCATTCRGTTCGAGTTCCTTTTCTCAGTCGCTCGAAAGTCGAAACCCTCGTTTCCCTCTCTCTCTCTCGCAGCTCGTTCTTGACCATTTATGTTTAACGATGAAAGCGTACAACGCCCGATTATAACTTGAGTATGTTTCTCTAATGCTTTTTTGACAATTTTGTTTTCATTGTATTTGAGTTTCAGAGGCTCTGTTAATTCTTGTTTTTTGAATTTTCTAGTTGATAGTCATGAATTTGGAGCAGAACATGTAGCAAGTCAGAATTTTCTGGTCAAGAAATACGCGCATTTTCATTTGGGTGGAGAGAATGAATAAATCCCTTGTTTCGCCTGGCATTTCTATTTTTGCTAGAAATCCCTCAAATGTTTCGTGTTTGCTTCTGTTAATTCATCTAAACCACTTTCAGATTTTTAATGTGGAAGTTTACATTGTCATCAGTTTGAGTTTCTAGAAAAGAATTCGAACAAGAATATGGGTGGGTTGAGTTGACAAACCATCTAGCTTGGAAATTGGGATATGAATTAAATAAAGTTTACGTTTAGATCGGATAAGGGGTCCAAGAGGATAGATTCGAGCCGAATATTTGGTTATTCGAGTTAGGCTTGTTGAAATAGTATTAGGTTCGAGTTCTATTCGAGTTAGAGACTTGAGCTCTAGTTTGGCTCGATCCAAAACTCACAAGTCTGCTCAAACTCGATTACAAGCCTAGTTTTCTAAAAAATAAAAATTATACATATAAAAATATTTTTTCTTTATTTTATATAYAAAAAAGTAAGAATTATAAAAATTATTTATTATTATATATAATAAAATTATTTATTTAATATACTAGGCTTAATTAAGCTCACGAATCTAACAAGCCGAGCTTCAATTTAAACAGCCGAACCGAATTCAAATAACTTGTAAAAAACTCGGCTCATGGCCACCTGATACGCTTTCTTCGTAAGTATCAGTCTCTGAAAGAAATCCTTCTTTTAGTTGAGAGGGACTTATCTTTAAATGTGGCACAAAAAAAAAAAAACATATAAATTGAGAAAAGAAACAAATTGGCTCCAAAAAAAAAAATTGGTCACTTAGAATGTTAGTTGAGGTTGAGCACTTGAGATTTTTGTGATAAACAATAACTAGGCTTACTATTCTTGCAACATCATTTGCTGTATTAAATTTTAAATGAAAAATATTATCTTGAGCATTTAAAAGTGATTTTTCATTACTCAGATGGATACAAATTAACATTTGTGACATCTAATCACATTCTTACTTTTGCTTTTCTGTATTAGCTACCTGCTACATTGTTGCCAACTTGGGACACAAAATGGACTAAACAAGAGAGTAATTTCAAAATCAAGTCAGAACATTTGTGCAGAAAGGCCTATGGAACCTCTTGTTGTTGAGGAGAACAGCCAAAGGGAGGATAACACAATTGTATCTAAAGATGCTTGTCCATTAGAGATGGACAGCGAACGAGTTCAGAGTGAAAGTACAAAATAATGCAAAATACAAGATTCTGCACCTTACATATTTGTATTTGTGCTCCTTTCAAACTGAGCCTATTATAGAACCATACAAAAGGAATGGAATTTGAATCAAGATGGAATTGAGCCATGTGTGTGGCATACATAAGAACTTGAACAAGATTTTGATGGCTGCATCTTTGGTAGTGTGGCCACTGATGAGTTTGAATCAAGATGGGAATTACTTATTAGTAGATATCAACTTCGGGACAATGGGTCCCTATTTATATGAAAGGCAATTTTTGCAGGCATCTGACAGACAAGAGGTCTGATCATCATATTGTCTCATTCTTTGATGGGTACTTCAGAGGTATGAAACAGTTTCTTGATCTGTATGGTATAGCTCCAAAGAATCTCAGTATGACAAGGAAAACGAAGCTGACTTTGAGACAATACATGCCTTCCCAATGTTGAAGACAAAATCACCTTTGGAAAAGCAGCTTGCAGCACTTATTTATACAAGGGAAATCTTTAAAGGTTGAAATGGTTGAAAGTAGAGGTTACTTTGCCAGAAAGACAGAGGACGATGGAGTAGTTAGAAGGTTTGTAGTGGCAAAATACAAGGAGGAAGGTAGTACTGCAAAGAGTTGTGACCACAAATATTATTAGCATGATAGAAGCCCCTGAGCATCACAATACAATTCATGGAGGGAATCAGGGCCAAAAGGGAGATGGAAACCAATATGGTAGTGCTGATAGGATTGCAATCATAAGTGATCTCTTACATACTAAAACCAATGAACATCCGATATCAAATAAAAAAGAAAAAATTTCCGATTAGTACCTTGAACTTTAGGCCCAGAGCCATTTTGTCTCCTATACTTTAAAATGTGATAATTCAGAATCTGAACTTTTAAAATGTGACAATCTAGTTTCTACCGTTAATCAGATGTCAACAACCTACTGTTAAGTGATATTTAAAAAAGACACAAATGTCCTTTGAGTGTCATTTAACTTTCTTTGTCAATCATCAAAACATTTACAAAAAATTAACAGTCCCAAATCCTTACTTATTCCATTCAAAAAAATTGGGATGATGTTTGTATAAGCATTTAGGTGACAAAAAATTAACAGTTTCTTCATCTATATTGTATAGCTCCAAAGAATCTCAGTATGACAGAAAATAAAGCTGACTTTGAGACACAATACATGCCTTCCCAATGTTGACGGGTGTATAAGCTCTCTATACTGCAGAAATTGAGAAATGAATGAGTGGCTGCTATAAATTCAATTTGGACTACATAATTCTCTATATAATGCACAAATTGAAAAATAAAATAAATATAATGAATGAGTGGTACCAACCATGATGGTATCCAAGACCTTTATTTGGTAGTTGACTAGTTAGGTACTGGGGCAGGTTTTAAGGACGGGGGACCTCAAAAAATGATGGTTCCGACTTCCAAGGACAAGCCCAGCATTTGATCCATTGAATTATAACCCCATTATTCTCATAATCTCATATACTGTGAGTCTGTGACTGAGGTTGATATGGATATCCTAAGACCTTGATTGGATGAGGCCATAAGGCCATGACTCATGAGGATAGTAGCTTTTTCACTCGCTCTGTTGCCGAAACCCGCACTATAAGAAAAAAAAAATGGAGAAGTAGTTACAGCCCACTGTAAAATTTTGAATTAAAATGTTAAATAAATCCCATCTTATACACCAATGTTCACCCTTGAATTGACATTAATTTCGAACTAACACGTACTCCAATTATAAGGTGGGGCTAAGAATTCTTGTGCAGGGCTAAACTGTCATTCTCCCAAAAAAAAAAAGCCCTTAAATCCCGTCCTGGGTGATGATGCCAATGGATATGCTGGGCTAATAGGGATGTCTTGCTGGATCCCAATAGGACTGTACCTTCAAGGCTGTAAATACAGGCCAGCAATAGTGGTTTGTGGTTACCTATCATTGTGATTTGTGACTTTGCTTAATTGCTCTTTCCTTTCCTCTAAGCTCTAACAAGTTGTCCTTTGTTATGATTTATGAAATGAAAGCTTTTTTTCTACTCTTTCGGTGGTGAAGGTGAAAGCTTCTAATTTCACCAACTCTAACGGACTGTCGCACTTAAAGATACCATCATATCAAGTAGAGGACGAAGAAATTCATCACCGAATTTGTTTTGGTAATAAAATTTACCACCCAAGTGGATGCAAAATTTGTATTTGATTCACATTATGTATTTTTACTTATAGCTTTGCATTGTTTTTTTCATCCACTCATTAGCAGTACATTTTTTTTTCGAGTACAGACAGTATCACAGAACAAGTCTTGCATCTCATAAACTAATAATAAATTGCACGCCTTCATTTTATGAATTGAGATCTGTTCCTCACAGAGTGCGTCTCACGCCGATCTCACAGCCACATCTCACCCTGTACTGGGAATATCTCCCCATGAATAATATATACGAGTATGAGAGATGTTCCCAATGTGCGGGACACACTATGAGGTCAGTGTGAGGCGTGCTGTGTGAGGAGCAGGTCTGGACTCTCATTTTACCCACATTCTCTCCCCAATAAAGTGAGAGATTACATTATTTTACTTCCCATTTAAAAAAAGTGGAAATTCCCTATTTTGGGCCTAGTACCACTTTGGTCTCCCGAATTTTAAAATACGATAATTCAGTACCCGAATTTTTAAAATGTRTCAATCCAGTACCTACTATTAACCAACCTGTTAATCAGCCCTTAAATGGCATTTGAAAAGATAAATGCTCTTCAAGTGTCATCTAATTATCTTTATTAGCCATCCAAAACATTGACAAAAAATGAACAATCCCAAATTCTTGCTTCTTCTATTCAAAAAAAATTGGGATCTCCAGAATGCCCACTAAGTCGTAACCCCAACCTTTTTGAATAGAAGAAACAAGGATTTAGGATTGTTTATTTATTGTCAACGTTTGAACTGTTGATAAAGAGAATTAGATGACACTCAAAGAGCATTTGTATCTTTTCAAATGCAACTTATTTAACGGCTGATTAACGACAAATACCCAATTGACACATTTTAAAAGCTCTAGTACTGAATTGTTGCATTTTAAGGTTTGAGAGACCAAAGTGGCACTGGGCCCAAAGTACAGTACAGTACAGGATACTAATCGRGAATTTTCACATTAAAAAACGTCATTTTACTTCCAATTTTGCTCCTACCAAACAAATAAAACTTCAAACAAAAGTAAACCAGAATCTACATCCATCTGCATTCTCAGACTTGCTACAAGCAAAAGGAAACATTTCTTTTCTCAAGTCTCAACCGGTCAACCCATTGCAGGATTGCACCGAGTGGTATTATAAGTTAGACCCGGTGCTGCAGACTGGAGTGAAGATTTTGCTTGAGTCTGTACCGCCGGTAGTAAAAAATTAAACCATGCAGAGGTCCTGCTTTACTTCTCTCCGACTAARATTGCCATAGCTAATGCCTAATGGCATCGTTAGATCTAACTCACATTTTATAGAACTGGTAATTACCCATCATCATACATTGAAATTATCATCGATAAGAAGTTAAGAACAAATGAGTATACCCCAAGGCCCAAACTGTAAGAAAGTACATAAGTTTATTGCTTAATTGCTTTACAGGAAATAAGGTATACATAGAGATTGACAGAGAAGGGGCAGAGGGCGTCGGTTCGGTGCAATGTGTACGGTGTACCCTCTCCGGTCTCCAAGGGTTTGTAATTCTTGAGAGGAACTAATTAATCGCTTCTATCAGGAATCTTATTTGTTAACAGCAACAATGGGAGAGAATGTGAGAAAATCTACAGGAGGGGTACAACAACCTAGAAGAACAAGGCAGTGTAGAAAAGTTGGTTCCATGTATCGGGCAGGCCCGGGAGGCACCAATGGCTACAGTCGGCAGATCGATCTGGGTTGGCTCTCTGTTGGGGGCTGAGATCGCCGCTGTAGATGGAAGGGTGGCCGTCTTTCCTGAGCTCCGACAGCGTCGTAATGTCAAGCAGATAGGCCGGGCTGCTCATGTCTCTYAACACAGCCTGGATCACCTTCATCTGATCTGGGTAGGCCCCAGGGTAGGTTGCACCACTCAGTGGTGCTGTCTCTCTGTAACAGTTCTTCGACACCGATGCCGCTGCATTCCATTCTGTAGGGCTGCCAATCCAATCACAGCAATCGCAACTATCAGGAATTCAATAAACTAGTTTACAACTTCCTCCTCAAAGAATCAACGGTGGACCCAAAACCCTCCGGTATCTCACATGCTGTAAGGCTGCGTTTGGAGGGGGGAGGGGCTTTCTCTAACTCTAAACGGGTTTTCTAATAAGCATTTTTTGAACAAGTGCTTGCAAAAGAAAAACCCTTTTTGAACCAGCTGTTATGTCCCAACTCGGAAGAAGCCTGGAGGTGTAATGTTGACCGGGCTGGGGCGCTGGGCCAGCACGGTTCACTTTTGTGGGCAACCTCTACTGTAGCAGCCAGCAGGCCATGCGAAGCCCGCCTGCCTGGCATGAATCGCCACGGCCCATGGCCCACGCCTAGTCAGGCTGGGCGGTGGGCTGAATTGCAGGCCATCATGATTTTTTTTTTATTTTTTGAAAAAAAAAAGAGAAAACTATGAAAAGTAAAAATTATTAATTTATAATAAAATTGAAACAAGACGAAAACAAATTAAAAAAAAAATCACATCAATAATCAATTCGTGCAATAAAATAATGTAACAAAATTGAAAAAAAAAACAATAAAACTAAAAAATTACAACTAAGGCTGTGCTTGGTTGCAGTGCAGTTTTAATTGAACTAGTACAAATGCATGGGAGTGCAAATGAAAAAAAAATGCAAATTTTAATTAAACTTTGTTTTGGGTTTTTCTTTATTCTGCTTCATGTCTTAATTTACTTCATTTGTACTGCAATTAAATAAAATAAACTAAAATTTGAAGAAAAAAAATGTCAGAATTTACATTCAAATCATTTGCATTGCCATAGTTTTTTGCAACCAAATACAAAGTTACAAGTTACAAATAAAATTAATAATTTACATATTTTATTTGCTTTACATGATAGATCATTATGATAGTAGAGGTATAATATGGGCCGGGCTGTGAGCACAAGCCCTCAGAGACCATGGGCCTGCATGGCCCGTTTTACACCTCTAAAAAGCCCATTTAGCACGGTTTCACCAAGCGAATTTTTTTGGATGCTTCTGGCTCTTGTTCTAAAACACAAAAAGCCTCAGAAGTTGAGACTCGAGAGAATCTCCCCACCCCCAAACGCAGCCTTAGTACAATCAACTCGGAGTAGGAGCTGGTCAAAATCAACTTGGAGTTCATTTGACGCACGAGTTTAACTTGTCACCGACAAAATCGATGCATCTTTTTGATCTACAATTAAAGATTAGAAATCCTAATTGATATTCTAATCCAACTGTCCCAATAGGTACTGAAAGACGAGAATACCCTCCATAAGTTCAGTCATTAATTGTTTCGTAATCAGGAGCACTGTTTTTAGTCAAAAACTGAGAGGAAGGGTGTGGGAACGCGTCGACTCGAGACAAAAAGGAGAGTACTTCTGGGCTCTGAACCTGACTCATCAATCCGTSACACCACAATTCACAATCGCTTTCCAATATTTGCAATAATCCACAAGAGGAATGTTCCCCCCTACGCCTACGCCCTATCCATCGTTATTATTCTTCAACTTCAACCAAGGAGAACCTCTCATTTGGAATTGGAACGATCACAATACTCTAACAATCGGATGATTAGGATTTGACTCACTATGTGGACGGCTCTGATTGACTAACTACGGTGCCTTCCATACAACCTGTTACTATCAGAAAAAAGGTTTAGGTTTCAGGCTTTCAGCCCCCTTCTTTAGAAGCAAAGTTAGAAAAGAAATCGGATTTGGTCAGAAAATGAATGAATCCGGCGTCTGTAGAAGTGATAAAAAGCTTGGAGCTTTGCACAGAAAAGAAAAGAAAGAAATCATGAGAAAAAAGTAGCTGACCCACCATTAATCCACTAGCAGAAAAGCTACAATCAATCCTAGCCGTTGGTTCCCTTGTGTGGGTTTTCACCAATAACTACTTAAAAGGCAGGCATTTATAGTTTTACAACTTTATAGTTAGAAAGTTAGGTATGAGCGTATGGTTCCCGTTTGTCTCTAACCAACCTTTTTTTTTTCTTAACGAGAAGGACCAATAACAGAAAATATAATAAAAATACTACGACGACAATTATGAAAGAGAGAGAGAGAGTGTTTGTGTGTGTGTGAAGGKTGCTTACTTGTAATGTGTAGGTGAGGTGGCTTGGAAGAAAACCCGTGTCTTGGTTGTTTGAACGTTTGAGTCAACCCACCTCGCCCATGTTCTCATTCCTCTCTCGAATGCAACCAAACGATCCATGTCTTCATACAGCGACCCTCCTGATTCCATGTAATCCCACCTGCGTTTCCATTAGCCAAGTAACCCAAATTCAAGAAGAAGAAGAAGAAGAAGACAGTTGCCGATCGAACATATATAAACAAAACATATACCCTTGAAGAGCTCCCTTGTGAGTCCACCAGTGACCGGAATTGAAGGACAGAACGTCGACACCCCTCCAGGCGTTGGCGTTGCCTGAAATCTCCTCCAGCTTCAGAACTCGCTTCCCCTTATTTACCGTATCTATGTCCACCAGATACGGCGCTCTATAGAACGACACCGACACCCCATATTCCTATCATATCATCACGTCAACAACTCAAAATTAAAGAAAAATAAATAATTAATTAATTAAAGATCTGTTTGGATGGAAGTAATTTGGTGTCAGTCTTAATGGAAACAAACAATTATACTATTATAGGAAGGACAAACTACAAACTATGGAATTCCAAAAACGTAGTTGGCGCCAACTGTATTTTTTTTGGGAACATCCAAATAGTCCCTTCTAAAATGCTGATTCCCCTGCTTCGCTGCAGCACTCGCCGCCGTATCATGGTCCAGACTCCAGACTGCGGAAGGGATCACCATATCGTCTAATGCCAGTGCTTTACTTAGTGGTTAGTACTTACCAAGAACATAAACGTGGAAAGAGGATCTCCTTTGATCAGTTGGGTCGGCGACCGTGGAACCGCCGCCGATATCATGCAAATCAGAGACTGCCACTGATTCCGGCCCAGCGAGTCACCCACGAACATCACCGTCTTCCCTCTCATCCTCACCAGAAAATCCATCCCATTGAACCTACCGCCACGTATCAAGAGATGACAACAAGAACAGTCACGAGTCATGCATTCCAAGGAGAAAGACGGGGGAAGTGGTATCAGGGGAGACGTACCTGAGGAGTTCACAACCGAGGGGCTTCCATCGATACTTCTGGTAATCGGAGTCCGGTCGGCCGTACATTTGGCAGTTGAATTCCGGGTCGATGATAGCACAGTTGGAAGACTGGTATATCGGGTAGGTATCGTCCCGAATCCAACTGCCAATAAACAAGTTACAGGTGGTTTTGTTGGCTGGGAGATATGGTCTCCTGTAGTGGTGCTGCCATCCAACCAATGGAGCAGGTGAAGCTATGTGTGCTTGAACTAGAATCAAGCACAGAGTCCGCAAACAAGACCCAATGGCATAACTACAACTATGAGAGGATGAAACAGAGTGAAGAGCCATTTGAGAAACAGAACCCCAGAGAGAGAGAGAGAGACCCTTTATTTATTTCTTTTTCATATGAGAAAGGAATAGTGTAAAGGTTATTTTGTGTGCTCGGGTACATGTGAAGGAAGGCACCTGGGTTCTCATGAGGTTTTATATATAGATTTGTGGTGGTGGGCTGGTGATGGTGGTGGCACGCTGCCTTTGATGATGAGGGGTATCCTGGCCATTCTGCAGGTTTTTTGTTACTCTGTAATTACTGAAGTACCCTTTTCTAGGTTACGTGTCTTTCTGTGGTTGGTGGTTAGCAAATTTCTGGTCAGACATGTGAACCCCGAGGACTTGAATCAAGTGGGTTTTGTCAAGCTTGAGGTGTTCAGTCTTCTTTATATTATTAATACCGTGACACACTAAGGAAAATTCCGGATGAATACAATCAAAGATAGTTTTTCAATTCAAGTGAGAGAGAGGTGAGCCAAAGCAATTTGTGAAGTGTGATGGACCATGACCTGTCTGTCGTTGAACCTCTCTAACTTCCTTGTTATTGGTGGTGTTTTTAGTGTGGAAAAGGAGTTGTGTGGGCACACTTTGCCGCAGTAGACTCTAGCTATAATCCAAATTTCTGAGCCCATGTCACAAGCACAAGACAAATGTATAAGAAAATCCAGATGTGATAGATGGAGATCACTTGCAAGCAAGCACATGCAGTAGGGCCTGAAGATTTAAGACATGCAATTTAGTGGGAGGTCCTTTGAGGGAGAAAAAAAGAAGATAATTTAACAAAAGATCAAGACTAGCTGTTCTATTTTCCTTGATCTGTAACACTGATTTACCAATTGTAGAACTTAGTTTTAATGATGATCCTCGACCTTTCATGACAAATTTCTCAAACCTTARGTAAATTATAACAAAAAAAAATAAAGGCATCCCAGCTATTTGGGTATTGAGAAGGATGGATTGGAAAGGGACTTAGGCTGCATTTGGCATTTCTTATTTTAAGGACTTGTCTCATTTTTTCTGTTAAAAAATCAATGTTCATAGGGCATCTTTAATTGCAAGAAGAAGATAAGTCCTTAAAATAGGAATGCCAAAATGTTAAAACATGAAACTAGTTTAGGTCTTTGTCTAGATCTCACAAGCCGGGAGGGGACACTTCCAAATTGAATTGGATTATCATTAGGTTAGTAGGTTAGGTTAGATTAAGTTAGGTTTTTGGGAAGGAATCCTTGAATAAGTACTGTCTTTATTAGAGAATAAAGACCTATTAAGGGATCTCATCCAACGGCAATTGGTATAGTGTTTGATTTTTATCACTCATTATAATTAATTAAATTTCAGCACAAGTATGGATGGATCTAATTTATCCACACTTCAAACATGATAAACTTTTACATGAATAGATGTGTTAGAGAATAAAAACCTATTCAGATACCTTGTATAAGAACTTGAACTTTCAAGCTGAACAATTACTTGAAGGTCTGTTTGGTTCACAATCGGATTTGGAATCAAAATCAGAATTGACTGGCATGGATTCTCATTCCCAGGGGAGGGAGAGGGAATGGCCATTCTCTCAAATGGAGAAATACCATTCTAGTAAGAATGAGAATGGGATTCTAATTCTGCCCAACCAAACAGTTGGGATCAGAATGGTCCATTCTGATTCCAATTCCAGACCCCTATTCTCAGAAACCAAACAGACCCTGAGATTGTTGAGAGAATAAAATCCCATCCAAGAACCTCACCAGATCAACTAACAGCTTCTCTAACATTCTTGCCTTTTCTTGGCTATGAGCCTATGACATAAACAGAAAGCATGATCTCCTTTTATCCTCTTTTGATCCTTCCACTGTTCAGGGGTAGAGAAATTACACATATATCTCATGCATCACAATATATTTGTCTTGTATACAATTTAACACAATATCTAATCTCAGATGCATTCCATGAATTCAGGCCGAGCTCAGATAGGTACACTCAAGGTTAAAAGTGTCGACACGTATCGGTCGTATCATTTTGAGACCCCTCCGATACACCCCTATAATGGGTGTATCGGGGGTCTAACCGGTTCAAAGGGTAGAGCCCTAAACCAGTCGCCCTGAACCGGTTTCAGAAAGAAAAATTAAAAAAAAAAGTATCAATTCATCCAATACACCCCTACCGGCACTTATCGGGTGTATCGATATTTTGAACTTTGGGTACACTCACTGTTCTCTAGATGGTTTATTTTCATCAAAACCTTTGTAATTAACCATGTGAATGATGTTGTTCTATACTTCTATACAACATACTACTGTTTTAGGTTTGTATTTACATAAAAATATATCTCAAAATGAATTAATTATGAGCATTTTTCTTTTCTTCGAATTTCCTATTTCTTCACAAATTTTCATTAAATAGATCAAATGGTCAGACTGAATTCAGGGTCAACCATCATGGTTCAAATTTTCTTTCAAACCACACACCCCACATCACTGCATGAGAAATTAGATTCTGGTATATTTTCCCTCTTCTACTCCGTCCAAAACCATCCCATTGTGTGGCCGAATCCAATTGTAACCAGAAAAGTAAAGGAGAAAAAAAAAAGGACAAATTTTCAGATTCCCCCGCCTTGGAGTTTTAAAAAATAAAATAAATAAATAATAAATAATTATAAGATTGGGCAAAGCAAAGATTATCAACTAGTCACGAGCCACTCTCCATCTTGGAGACATAAGATGGAGATATATGATGTGGCAAAGTTGCCCTTGAATCTCTCAAATATAATTATTAAAACATAGGGAAGTCGATACAAAATAGAAAAATATAAGAGAAAATATACAAAATCACTAAAACTTACAAGAATCCCTATTTTAAAATTTGTTATATTTATAATTGTTCATTTTCATTATAGATTCTAGTAATAAAAATTCTTATATTATCTAGAGGATCAAAATATCTTCATACAACCCCAAATTAAACACGTTTTTCAAAAATAAAAAATAAACACGGGCTACAAAACCCAATCAGGAGTAAGCAAGATGCAGGATGGTTTGCTGACGTGTTTACTTTTGATTGGGTTTCGTAGCTTATTGTACAGTCTCGTTTGCAGCGGATCCATAGAAGTAAAGACAGTTTGAAATGGGTTTACTACGTATCTACAAAATTCCACGAACTGTACAACTTGGACTTTCAAAAATAAATAATCAAATACCCCACAATGGAGGAAAATAAACATCTTGCCCATACAAAATGGACTAGGTTTTCAAGTAATGGCAATGATTTTCAACATCTCGTAACTGCTGCAACACCGTAGCTCAAATATTCCATCCATTGTGGGAAGCAAATGCATCTATCAAATCCTCAATTATCATCTTCCTGTAAAATTCACAAGGAGAACTCTTCCCTGATATCCATTTTACCTTACAATGGTTGCATTGGAAATCAGTTGAATTGATGTTGCAAGAGGATCAGCTCCGACTAGCTTGTGAATGATGTTGCATTGCAAACCAGTTGAATCTTCCTTTCTATCATCATGCTGATCTGTGGCATTTCCCCCACCTATGCAAATGAAACAGGATTAATAATATAAAAGCAACTCAAGGGCCATCCTTTATGGCGTGGAGCTCAAAAAATGATTCCAGAAGGACTTACAAACCCCAAAAATGAAGTAAAAGGATAATTTACAAAAGTACATAGCAATGCACATAAAATGCAAGACAAGCCAGACATATAAGCCCTATCATCCTAACATATTCTTTAGGATAAATGATCTTGTCTTATTCTTTTTTTTTTTTTTTTTTTTGCTATTTGAACTTCAAAACCCCCCTCCCATACTCTCCCTCTCCTACCATAAATCTTTAGAATAAATGGTCTTCTTGTTTTATTGTTTTATTTGCAATTTGAACCTCAAGATCTTTCTCCCTCCCTCTTTCTGATTTGCATCATTCACATTACACCAATCCATGTGGAGCATCAACTAAAATGAGTTTAAATTTCCAGCATTTTGGAACTCTGGGTTTGTCTCTCTCTGCAATTATTGGCATGAAAATACCAAGCTTTCTTAGGTGAAAGTTATAAGTGTTTTATACTCATGATCAGAAGTGGATTGGGACACAAACTCCAATAACAAAATTGTATATGGAGTCTTTCTTTCATTGCTACTAGAGTAACATATCTATGCTGGATAATAGTATCCAACTGTTATGGCAATGAAGATTAGTGACAACCTTTAATAATATTCGACTGTTCATATAACCTGCAGCTCTTACATGGATAATAATATTCAATATGTAATCTAAAGTGGGAAATTTGGGAGAATATTGATACATTTCAGAAATAGTGTAAATCACAGTGTTGCATGGACTCTCCTAGATGGTCAACGTGTCCATTTGGATACATGCCAGAGTCCAACAACCCACAGATTCTTGAGGACACATATATGTAGCATTCTGTTTCTATCTCTTAACTTATTTGGCATAAATGAACAGCTAGTTTACAAGATTAATGCCATTTTTTGCATTAAACATAACTTAGTAATAAAGGAAACATTTTTTGCAGGTAATATAATGTTAGAATTGAAGATATGTACTTTAATAATATACATTTTTCCAATATGCGGTTATCCAAGACTCCATGTTTTCCCATCTTGAGAAGTCAAGACTTGTACACATGTTGAATTCCAACTCCAGTATCTGCATGCAAAACTGGTAAATCATGCTTATAAATGCATTCTGGTAAAGAACGACTAGAGGAAATGAGAAAGGAAATGTACTCCACTGCTTTTTGGATCTATGACTTCACTCAAATTGATTTTGAGCTGCTTGAATAACTTCAGAGATAACACTGAAGCAATCAAAATCAGGTTTCTCTTCACTCTGGCTGAACTTGGCACCAAATCTGTTTTGGTTTCCTGAAAAACAGAGAGAAAGAAAGCCATCAAAATTAAGATTTCTCTTCACAATGGACACATATTGGCAATGTACTCAGGACCCATAGGAAATGGGAACTCCACTAGTGCAGAATTACAAGGCCTAAGATTGGCAAGAACACTAAATGCAAGGAAATTGGTTGCTGAAGAAGATTCAAAGGTGGTGGTTAGCTGGCTGAAATACAACAAACAAAGATCATGGCTTTTTTTTGGAGGGAAAAAAGATCATGGCAGTAAGTACAAAATAGGGAAGAGTTATACCGGGGCACTTTGTAATAGGGTACTTCAACGTAAGGCAAGGGAGAGTTGGCACCTGCCAGTCTCATTAGAAGGATGTTTGGCATTCTTCTTTTTAATATATGCAACTAACCCATTGTTTTTACAATCCATTTTAAAAGGGACTCCTTTGGCCTTTCCAGAAGAGAGAGAAAAGATCCCCAACGTACCTCCCATTGATTTTGTTGAGGATGCTTCCATCAGCAATTTCTGGCACATGACAGTATCCTGGAAACCAAGGAATGTATACTCAAGAAACTTTAATCTCTCAAAATTTGTCACCCTGGAGAACCCAAATGAAGTGGTCCATGTATGAAGCACTTGAGGAATAGCAGGTAAAAACAGCCTCTCCACCCCTAACTCTGTAAGTATCTAAAGAAATAAAAGGAAGAACATTATGAGCATTGAATGAACACTTACAAGCTTATCCCCTTATCTGCTCATGTGAGAATGGGAGATATTAGATATCATTTTTGTAGTATATCTACCCATTTGGATTATCTTAACCCATTGGTTAGTTTGCCCCACAAATAGGTATAAGCCAAAACATCCAGCATCTATTTTCTCATGAAACGACAAAAGAACCTTACGTTCTTATGGTTGGGATAGCCAATCTCTGATTTTGTCCAAGGAGATATATTAGTTGGTAGATATTGAATCCGTCCTACCTTTGTTGTATATAGTATAATGTAAAAAGGGCACAAAGGGGACAAAGGCATATTCCCTCCTACCCCAGCTTTGAGCACTTCTTCTAAAACTGGAGCACATTATATTGATAAAAAAATGAAGCACATGACATATATGAGCAAGCATACAAAATCTACTACCATCTTAATGTAAATTTAGAAAATAAAGGGTGAGGGACCATAACCATAAATGAATATAAGAACAGTAATAATATCTGCCTCTGGGCTGGCAATGTTATGGAATAGATTATCACCCTTTGGTTCAAAACATGTTACCAGCTACACAGTTTGAACCAACCAGCAGTCAGAAAGTCCTACAGCTTTCCTGCTTTCAAGGATGGAATAGAATCATATATCTGTCATATCCAGTTGCCATGAAGATCCATTTCAGATCCTAATAAGATCAGATCATTTTCAAACCGTACCTGGATCTTTATCAAAAGGTTGGGATTAATGCTGAATTAAGTTGAGTTATACTTGGATCTTTATCCAATCTAGCATGATTCAAAGTCTTGGCACAATACGCCACATAACGTATCGAATTGTTGGCTTCTTAATAAACCTGTTTACAGGCGTTTTGAGGAAATCAATTTTTTTTATTGATTAAATTATATAAAAGCATGTATAAAAATGAAATTTTGAAATAAAAAACTAAAAAATTGTGTGGCCTACAAAGTACCGATGCACCCCTGCCTATACATTTTGGTGTATCGAAACTTTGAACCTCGCAACCTAGATAATTATTTGATCCATGTACCTTAACTGCCATTGATTACTTGATTTTAACATCAGTAAGTGAGGTCAACCAATGAACTAGGATATTCCAAAATAATGAATATTAAACTTTTTTCTTTCTCCTTACGATACTAGGCACCATAATGTGAGTATAGTTAAATATTATGCAGTTAGCTCTCATGAAACAACCTTCTCAAGTTCATTCATCAGAAGACGGCACATCCCAAGCCGGCGATATTGGACTCTGGTACCAACAAGGGGTACTTCTGCAACCCTTCCTCCAAAGACCCTAGGCAGAAAGAGAAGAAAATTTCAGATTTGTAAAGTAAGAAAAAACACTACACAATGTGAAAACAATCATACAGACCTAACAGTAGCCACAGAGATCACTTCTTCCTCCCTCTCCAAAAGCACTGTGTAGAACCCCCGAAAGTTCAGCCGGTTCAGCTCTGACCTGTAACATGCTTAATCAGCATTCTGAAACAAAAGGAACAATGCCCAAATTTCCCAGGGAGGTGGGAAGAACTAATGACAAAAGGATTCAAGTAGATAAGAAAGCATTTGGCACAAAAGCAATGAAAGTTTAAAATAAAATAAAACAATAATGAACTGTTACCAGTTTAAAGTAGTTAGATTTCGTTTTCGGTCAATTTCCTAGATGGAATTGGATCTTGTAAAGGGAGATCCATCCCCAATGTTTAGTCTATAAATAGAGTCATTGTAATTGAAATTTTAGAGTGGAATTAATGGAATGAAAAGTTTGCTGAAGTTGCCTGCAGGTAATAGTGTGTTCTTTTTCTCTTTTCTTCTAAAGATGCATTATTAATTCTTTTTCTCATTTTTATTCAGATCTGAATCTCTTCCTATATAATTTAATCCTTAATTCTCCCTATTTTTTCCACCATATTCAACACAATAGGACTTTCTCATTCCTGTCCTACTAGGGCTGTCAATGGAATCCTAAAGACCAAAACCCAATCCAAATTCAGATAATCGATTGACTCTTTGGGTTTTAAAAAACTGCACCCGTTTAATAATCGGATAAGATGTGGATCTAACCCTATTCAGTCCGATAAATACTCCAATTAAATTTTACATAATATGTACATTATATGCATATATAAACTATGCAATACATATAAATGAATAATATGTGTGTGTATGGATGAAGCTTATGATTAATAAATCAACATTTTATATTTATATAACTTTATTATGTAACTATGGATGTGTTTGGTAAGAATGCAAAAGGCATATGTACCGATGTGAATGCTATTATAATTCGGCCTGCCTTTGAGTTCTGTTAGTCTAATAACTGCCAAGAAGAGAGAAGAAGAAAGAAGAAAGAAAGAGAGAGAGAGAGAAAGGAGGACAAAAGGAGAGAAGAAAAGTCTGGTTCGAATTAGGGAAAGATAGCTTCTCCCATTCGGCCAGACATGTTTTATATTACTAATATAATGGAAAAGAYACAYRTGCCCTTAYTTAAGTGAGGGACACTAGTTCTAATATAATATTACAGATCAGCAACCTCAACATAAGTATAAAGATAGAAATACCCCTACACTAACACTCCCCCTCAAGATGGTGAGTATATATCATATAATCCCAGCTTGTTACATATGTAGTCCACTCTTCCCCGACTCAACCCTTTTGTAAATAAGTTTGCCCATTGGTTCCCTGTGTTAACATATGCAATGTCTATCACTCCATTCAACACCTTCTCTCTCACAAAGTGACAGTCAACCTCTATGTGCTTGGTTCTTTCATGAAACATCGGATTAGAAGAAATATGAACTGCAGCCTGATTGTCACAATAGAGCTTCATTGGAGTGTTAATATTGTATCATATCTCCTATAGAAGGTTCCTTAGCCACACTAATTCACAAGCAGTATGTGCCTTAGCTCTATATTCTGCCTCTGCACTGCTTCTCGCCACGACTGTCTGCTTCTTACTTTTCCATGTCACCAGATTACCCCCAAGAAAAGTGCAATAGTCTGTGGTAGACCTCCTATCAGACATAGACCCAGTCCAATCAGCATCAGTATACCCTTTTATTTCAAGTTTTCCACCACTTCATATCAAACCACGACCAGGGGCCCCTTTTAAATACCTCACAATTCATAGAACTGCATCCCAATGAGGAACCAGGGGTTTCTGCGTGAACTGACTTATCACACTAACCGCAAATGAAATATCTAGCCAAGTAATGGTTAGGTAGTTCAATTTACCTACAAGTTGTCGGTATCTGCCAGGGTCTTCAAACATTTCACCCATATCACTGCTCAGCCTAGTATTTGTTTCCATAGGTGTTTCAGTTGGTTTAGCACCTAACAAACCTGTTTTCTCCAACAAATCAAGCACATATTTCCTCTTACACAAATTAATATCATGCTTAGATCTTGCTACTTCTATCCCCAAGAAATATTTCAATTTACCAAGGTCCTTTGTTTGAAAATGTTCCTGTAGAAAAGTCTTCAACCTATCAATGCCCATTTTATCATTCCCGGTAATAACAATATCATCTACATACACTACCAATAGGATTTTTCTTGCCTGAGAGTCATGACTAAAGACGGAATGATCAACTTGGCACTGTTTCATACCAAACTTCTTTACCACCTCAYTRAACCTACCAAACCATGCTCAAGGAGACTGTTTAAGCCCATATATAGCCTTCTTTAGTCTGCATACCTTACCATCCTCCACCTGAGCAACAAACCCTGGTGGTTGCTCCATGTAGACCTCCTCGAGCAAATCACCATGCAAAAAAGCATTCTTGATATCAAGCTGATAGAGGGGTCAATCATACATAGCAACAAGAGAAATCACAACACGAACCGAACCTATCTTAGCAAATGGGGAGGTCTCTGTGTAGTCAATACCATAGGTTTGGGAGTACCCTTTTGCAACCAATCGAGCTTTCAGGTGCTCAACACTACCATAAGGTAAATACTTAACAGTATAAACCCACTTACAACCGACAGCCTGCTTCCCAGGAGGAAGAGCGGTGAGGTCCCAAGTATGATTATGAATTAGAGCTGAGAGTTCTTCTTCCATTGCACGACGCCACCCTGGAGAGGCAAGGGCTTCCTGGACATCCTTAGGGACAACAACTAAGGATAACAAAGAGATAAACTRGCGATGGGAAGCGGAAAGGTGAGTGAGTGAAATATAATTAGAAATAAGATGAAGGGTACAAGTGCGTTTACCTTTCCGCAAGGCAATGGGAAGATAAAGATCAGATACTAGGTTTGGGGCTGGTGGGGAGACAACTGCTGGATCTGTCGACGGTGATGGAGCCGGAGGAGTAGCAGCTGGTACATGTGGGCGATGTGTATACACTTGACGGATAGGTGGGCGTTCAACAGGTGGTGGCACTGGAGGCAAGGACTTGGTCACGGCTGGAACAAG